GCTGGAAACCATCATTCTCAGCAAACTATCGCAAGAACAGAAAACCAAACACCGCATGTTCTCACTCATAGGTGGGAATTGAACAATGAGATTACTTGGACAGAGGAAGGGGATCATCACACACGGGGTCCTATTGTTGGGGGAAGGGAGGGATAGCATTAGGACATACACCTAATGTTAATGACGAGTTAATGGGTGCAGCACACCGACATGGCCCATGTATACATACATAACAAACCTGCACATTGTGCACATGTACCCTAGAACTTAAAGTATAATTTAAAAAATAAATAAATAAATAAAATAAGTGCTCAATAAAATGACATCATCATAATAAAAAAACAAACAAACAAAAAAACAAAGCCCAGTCATTCCAGTGGGCCTGGATCACGGTGTATGAGGGTGGGGTGGGAGGTAAGAAGTATTATAATGCTCACCCCAGCACTTGGACTTTATTCTATGAGCAATGGAGACCAACAGACACTTTTGTCCTGCTGAATTTGAAAGGTTAGGGTGTAAAATTGAGATGTGCAGGTAGCAGTAATAGATTGGAGGCTGTTCATCAAGTGAACAACTGTGACTATTACATTTAATTAACTCTGTTCTTCACATGCAACTGGCTGTCCCCACATGACCTCCCACAAAGCCCTCTTATGGCTTCTTGTCTCACCACCCAGCAAAGGTTTCCAAGTATTCAGCCCTGACCTGATCTCCTTCGTAATTTTCACTTTCATATCCTACACGGCCTGAGGAACATCTGTCTCCTTGTGGAGACAGAACTGATAGGTTAAGAGGATGTTGTGAATGTTGTGTGGTATTTTGCAGCAAAACATTTGACACAGCCTCACAACTGACTGCACAGGAGGGACATAGGTTGTTACAGCTGTTTATCATCTGTGCATTCATCACTCTTTCATAAGGGCTATCAAAGTATCAGGCATCCTGCTTGGCACTGAGGAGTCAAGATGTATAAGACACAATTACTGTCTTGGATCAACTCCCAAGTAGCTCTGCTATAGGCTGGAACAGTAGGTTGATGATGATTCCAAGGTACTTTACTGAGAGTTAGGTTAAAGCCCTGGATGGTGGTCCCTAAATAGCTGTGATCTCTAGATCCCAGAAGGGGATTCAGATGAAATTCTGCTAAGGAAAGGTGATTTTCTCTGGTTGAAGTAGGGGTGTGTTCAGGGAACTTGGTCTTTTGGAAGAGACTCTTTCAGGAAATATCTCATGCTCCACAGAGCCCAGCACGACATTTTATGGCTAGGACCATGGAATAGAATGGTGGTTCTAGCCAGATGTGTGTGCATCAGAATTACAGGGGAATTTTTACATAACATCTGTCTATAGGTCTTAGCTTCTAGAGACAAAACAGTCCCGGGTGGAACCTGGGCATGTATATTTTGATTTTTTTATGCATACTCCTAGTGAAGAACCAATGTCTTGCTCGGGTGGAAGCAAGATATTCAGACTTATTTTCTCTGTAGCTCCTGCTTCTTATTATTCCTAGTTGAACTGCACCACTACTTAGTTTCTATTTTATAATACTGATTATAAAACATGGAGGGAAATAACTCTTTGTATTGAAATTAAAAGTTTTTATGGATAATTACCTATGTGTCCTAGACTCTGGGCTTGTCAAAAGAAGGACGTAAGAAGGCACTATGTATTATACTTGGGAATGATAGAAGAGACTGACCTGGTATTTCCACCCGGAAGAGGGAAAGGATTTTAATTACAAATACAGGAATCCAGCAGATGGCATCAGAGAACACTATAAAAAAGAAACGATTTGCAACAGCCACCTCTCTTCCAAAATGATTCCTTACTTCTGTGGTCTGCAAGGCGGTTTTTTGAATGGAACAGAACATAGTAATATAGGAAAACACAATGATGAGAAAAGCCAGCAAGTTCACACCTGTTGGGAAAAGCACACTTTTAACATCTCAGGCATAAAAGTCAACAGTAAAATTACTGTGGTACAGGTTGAGTATCCCTTATCGAAAATGTTTGAAACCAGAAATGTTTTGGATTTTGGATTTTGGAATATTTGCACATTCATAATGATATATCTTGGAAATGGTTCCCAAGTCTAAACACAAAATTTATTTATGTTTCATATACATCTTATATACATAGTCTGAAAGTAATTTTGTACAATATTTTAAATAATTTTTTGCATGAAACAAAGTTTGTATACTTTGAACCATCAGAAAGCAAAAGCTTCAGGTGTTGAATTTTTCCACTTGTGGCATCATGTTGACACTCAAAAAGTTCCATATTTTAGAGCATTTCAAAGTTTGGATTTTCAGTTACAAATGCTTAACCTGTACTTAGATGTTAAATACAGTGCCTCTTCCACGGCCCTGCTGGGAAGCCTTCTTTTATATAAGCCCCACGGTATTAGGTAAAACCCAGGTTCAAGGAAATAAAAACAAAGACATTGGGTTGGCCAGATGAAAAAGAGATTTCAAATACATAAACCCTTATGAGGAATTATAGACTTCTAAAATTCAGATCTAGGCATATCATGAAGTAATCTCTAGCTCTTTTAAAGCATGAAAAGAAGCTATTTTTGTTTTTCGCTCTCTGCAAATTCAAACCTTAAGGGATTGATGTAATCTTACGCACATGTCAAAAAATCAAAACAACCCCACTTTATTATCCTATAAACATGAATAATAAAAGAATAAAAATAATTTTAAAAAATGAATAAAATAACCTTGGAATTTATCGTGAATATAATTGTCTGAGAAACATTATTCCTAATGTTTTTGGTCTTAAGAATAATACATAGAACAAAAATGTATTTTTGTTTATTTTTCTTCATGTTTCTTACAGTAATTTAAACTACTATGGTTCAGAAACTTTAGACTAATTTTATAATAAACAATAAGAAAAAAGTTAAAAATTCAGCTATGTGAATTACTCTTTTAGGCCCAAATGTATGCACAAGATTCCCACCCAACATCGCTGTTCCCTTTCATGCTGACTTCTTAGTGACTCAGGTTTGCTTTATTCTTGCTGTCGCTGAAATCCTGAGTGATCATCTCATTTCTCACAGTGAACGTAAGACTTGCATATATTTTCAAAGTTGTTAAAAAATATGAATCTGAACCTAGACTGTGTGTAAGATTGGTGAAGTCTAGAGTAAAAATACTTTAAATTCAAGGTGATCTGTTATTTTTATCCAAATCATTTCATATTCAATGAAATCGCAGTATAAAGCCATACGGTAAAATTTTATAAAACTGGTTTGTCTTAGGCCTCTTTTCAAAAAATTTCATTAAGTGTAAAAAATAATCACTCTCTTAGAAGATGCTCCCTGCCCCAAATTCTGATAGCAGACTTACAGAAAGGATCAAAAGTGTATGTTCTAGGCTGGGCGTGGTGGCTCACACCTATAATCCCAGCACTTTGGGAAGCCAAGGTGGGTGGATTGCTTGAGGTCAGGAGTTTGAGACCAGCCTGGTCAACATGGTGAAACTTGGACTCCACTAAAAATACGAAAATTAGCTGGGCATAGTGGTGGGCACCTGTAATCCCAGCTACTTGGGAGTCTGAGGCGACAGCATTGCTTGAACCCAGGAGACGGAGGTTGCAGTGAGCCGAGATGGCACCACTGCACTCCAGCCTGGGAGACAGGGTGAGAGTGTCTCAAAAAAAAAAAAAGTGTATGCTCTGAATGCACGATAGTAATATAAGAAATATGTTAACAATAGGGGAAACCTGATGGGGCATATGTGGAAAATTGTACTATCTCTGCCCCTTTCCTAAAATGAAAACTATTTTCAAATAAAAAATTAATTAAAAATTATATATTCTTATATTCTTCAAACAGAAAAAAAAATTGTACTTTAGAGTTCTAGGACTCTTCCTCTCATATACAAATTGATGATGATTTTGTGTGTGTGTGTGTGTGTGTGTATGTGTGTGTGTGTTTGTGACTATCTCTTTATCTATCTGGAATATATCCCAGATAGTTAACCCCTTTGGGCCGAGCTCCATGCCCGCATGGTATGCTCCACCAAAATGAGTTTCTTCAGCCCTTCATCTTACTCTGTTTCCTGGCTTTGGGCCTGGGAATCCACTATGTGTTCCTGGAACACAGACCCCACCTCACCCTCCTCTGCCTTCACTTGGCTAATGCCTCCTCATCCTTTGGGCCTCAGTTTGAATTCATTTCTTTTGGGAAGCCTTCCCTGTTCCTCAGATCTGGGGCTCCTAGAACATTCTGTACTCTTCCGTCATGGCATTTATCAGCCTGTGTGTGATGTGAGAACGTGTTGACTTGTCTGCCTCCTCCTCTGTGGTCTGTAAGGCCTTTGAGGCTGGATCTGTTGTATCTCCAGTACCCAATATAGTATATAGTTCACAGCCTGTAGTAAGTGCTGAATAAATGCCTGTTGAAACAATGCATGTCATGGTGTGTGTGTGTGTGTGTGTGTGTGTGTGTGTGTGTGGTGTGTTTCAGGGAGAGTCTCTATTAAGGGCCCCTATGTTAGGAGTACTGAGGAAATGAATGATAAGGAAATACAAAGAACAGCCTATAATACTCTGGATCCTGGGAATGACATATCTATAACCAAATAACTACCAAATAGGGTAGTGTGTGATGGGTATTACTAAAATGGAGTAAACTAAATATTTTGTTTTTCAGAGGAGGAAGAGGAGTAGATGGAGAAGAACTGGGCATGATGGTTAGGGCCATGTCATGAGGAGTTCTAAGTGACTAATTTAAACTTGACCTTGATAGTACTAGGGAGTCATTGAAGGTCTCTGAGTGGAGGTGTACACAGTCCTTTTGATAGAGAATATAACAATGGTAGTGAATAGATAAATGAGAGGAAGGGGAAGACCCCAGAGGTTACGAGACCAGTAAGGGCTAAGGTAATAATTCAGGGTTGAGGTAGTAAGGTGTCTAACTAAGGCAATAGCAGTGGGTAGAGACTGGAAGGAACAGCAGCAAAAGCAAATTTTGAAGAAAAAGAAAGGACAGGAGAGCTTGTTGGTTCCTTGGATGGGAAGAAAAGATTAGGAGAGTCAAAAGAAGATCACCCCAAAGAGAGGACATGGGAAAAGCCTTAATTTTAAGCAGGAGGGATACATATTAGAAAATAGAAAAGTAATGTTTTTAACTTTAAAGGGCTAAACTTGTCTTTCATTTATAAAGAACACAGGATCTTCTTTTCCAAATATTAGGAGGAACTGAGAGAACTGGAAAGAAAATAGCTTTATTAAGCATCCTTACATTGCTGACTCAAGAGCAGCATTTAACAAAGGCAATAAACCTTCCTGGTATTTCCATTCAGGTATCTCTTACTTGTCAGTTTCCTGAGTTTTATTATTATTTATTTAACTCATAACCAGATTGTAAAAAAAAGAGTTCAAATAACTTGGTAGGTTTATAGGATGAGGCACTAAACTGGAATTCCTCCAGCTTATAGTCATTTCATATAAACATGAAATCAGAGGATCTTATGGATAATAAAAAGATAATCCAGAGATCCTGGTAGTATGTCTTTATTTTCCACACTAAATATTGTCTAATAAAAAGTTTAATAAAAACGTCAATAAATGCAATAGTAAAAACTTTTTTTTAAAGAAGGACACAGTCTTGACTATATTACCTCACTTTCTGAAACAAACAAATCCACCCTTGCTGAAATTTAAAGTATTTCTAGCAAAATTATGTTTTTCCAGGAAATGAAAAAATATAATTTACCTAGAAAAATTCCAAGAGAATACCCTTTACTTCCAACATCTTCTGTTTGGTCATAATAAAGTGGGAAACATACTCCATTTTTCCCATAAAAGTTTCCAAAATACTCCTCATTCCAAAATGGAATTACAGCTATTAAAAATCCTGCCATCCAGATGCAAATGAGGATGACTGAGGTCTGCCGTTTTCCAGGCCGAATGTTATTGAAGGGGAAGACAATGACCAGGAACTTCTCCAAAGTCAAGTAGGTCAGTAGCAGGACAGAGACTTCGGTGGACAGCATGGCCAGGAACCCCATGAGGCGGCACTGCACACTCTCCATCCACAGCAAGGCATACTTCTGATACTGCCCTCGGTATTTTAGATCAAAAAAGCCAACAAAGAACAAGTAAACACCCATCAGGCAGTCAGCACCTGTGAAAGAATCGAAACAGTGTATGTCATCAGTTTCCAATGCCTCTGTTTTAGTTTTCTGATTAAGTCTATTTCCAGCATTTTAATTGTCTAATTAGATCTAGTTCCCTTCATCTGATATCAAATGAACTAATGTAAACATCTACCAGAGTACCAAGAAGCTAGTGGACTTAAAAATCTGTCATATTTCTAAAGTACTACACTATGTTTTTATTTTGTAGTTTAAAAAAATGGGAACAGGAATTTTCTGGAAGGAGGAAGGACTAGTTGTTAAACAGTTAACGTATATTATCTTCATAGTTAATAAAGGGAATAATTTTCTGGGCTTAATGAGCATAGGTATCATTGTAATTGAAGTTGACCTTAGTTTTATCACCCACAAAACTTTATAATCTGTCACTTGACTCATTGGTTCCCTATTAGCGCATTCCCAAGACATATTCCTGAGAGCAGGCCACTGTAAGGTCGTGCAACCTAAAAAAAGCCACGAAGAGCCAGAACTTTTATATTTAGAAAAAAAAATGTGCCCAGGATGTATAATTCACATTAAATGCCATTTGTTGAAAGCCAATAAATGTGTGTGTGTGTGTGTGTGTGTGTGTATATATATAATACACACGTCTAGTGCACAGCTCACAGAAGATACCCTAAATCTACCTATATTGGAAACATACTTACAACAAAGGATTTTGATGGACATAGCGTGAGTTGTATTTTCAGCTTTAATGAAAGATCTCATGCCAATGACAAAAAGATTTCCAAAGCAGGTAATGAAAGCTATAACCCAGACAAATATTCTGAGGATATTGTTAGCCAAGAGGTCCTCAAATGAAGAAATGCCGTCCGTCAAGGGCATACATATTCGGACATGGGGAGCATAGGAGCAGTATCGAAAGTTTTTGAAATAACTAAAGTCAAAGGGAAAAAAAGTGTCACTTTGCAGCAATGATACAGAAACTACAGTTGCAATCCTATCGGGGCTGCAACTCCATGCTAGGTATACAACTTCACTAGGTTTGTTTATTTTTGTTTAGTAGTGTTTATGTAATTAAAGAGTTCTTCATGAAATACGAGGCAGTATCCTTTTAAAGATGAGGAACCTAAAGGACATGGGAATTCAGTAACTTGGATGAGGAGAGTTCGGGAGGACATGAAAATTTGCAATCTCAGGGGCTTTGTGTTCCCTGGTCACATTGGTTTATTGATTATTCTGTAAGGTATTATGAAAAGTGGATTATCATTGTCAAAGTGATCTCCAGCAAACTTTCAGGGGCTTGGGCTTGGGATGGGAAAAGCCTGTTGTCACTCACCTAGAACATTTCTGTCTTGTCCTGAGTTTTAAACACCAAGGTCTACTCACTTTAACTAGCCCCCTCTTCCCTGACACTGGCAGGAAGGGAGGACCTCCGACACTAGGAAAATGCATTCTCACTGGATCTGGGAAGAGAAGCAGCTGCCTTAAACACAGATTTCTTATGAGGGTCTGGAAGGACTTAATTTCTATGGGAAAATAAGTTTGTTTGTGGTCAGTGGAGTTGGGATCTGGGCACAAGGCATCTGGAAGTGCTGGAATTGGTGAGGTCATTTGGCTGTCGCCATCCCTCAAACCTGTGTGTTTAGAATTTTCTCTCATAAAACTTATTCTGTTTTTATTTGTTTGCTACTTCTTTCAGTTCACTTTTCTGCTCTTTGCTGTCAGTCTAATTCATTTTTTTGTCATTTCTCAATTCAGTTTCTAGACCAAGGCAGCCTGGCGTCAGACCCCTGACTGCCTGCACCATCTCACCTCTTACCCTGCAATGCTTACGCCACCCAGACACACACCCTCAGACAAGCCATGCTCATGCCGTACTCAGAGCTTTGCTTTTGCTTAAGCCCCTGCCTGGAAGATTCTTCCCCTGGATACTGCCAGGGCTGCTTTCTACCTCCGCTCAGGTCTGCTCAAATGTCACCTCATTCCATCTTCCATCCACCCCACCTCAGTGGTAATCCTCAATCCTCCTTCTATTCCTTACATTGCTTTATTTAAATTTGTAGCACTTATTGACTATTTACTCGCTTGCTCCTTTACTCTCTGGTTCCCAAAGCTAAATGGAAGCTCTCAGGCACAGACATCCTCTCTTTTGTTCATCATTGTGTTCCTGGTGTCTAAAGCAGTGCCTGGCACATGTAGGTACTCAGCAAATACTACTTGGATCAGCAAGTGGATGATGAATAATTTAGCACTGGGTGTGTCAGGAAGAGAAACAGGAGGCAATTCTTGCCTTCAAGTAGCTTACAATTCAGCTTCCTAATATCTGGCATCCAATTAAAGGAACCTGACCTATAACAAACTCTCTTTTCTTCTCCTTCCCTGGAGTTCCTGGCACACACTTGGCTTGACTTCTTGGTCCTTTTAGGATTCCATTATGTCTGCTATCTTCAGATAGAACCATCTAGCATCTCTCAGTGGTTCAGGGCCACCTTGCACTGTGACCACACTACTTGTTGCCAGGTGAAAGGGATGGGGGTGACGACGTGGGGATGTTTCAATAAATAAAGGACAAGGAATATGAAAGCAAAGTAAGTAGGTTACTTAGTAGGGAAGTAACTTAGCTAATGTGTTTTCTCTTAATTGTTGAGCCCTTCTTGACCTTGGCCTGAGGTCTATATTTAACACAGCAGTTTCTCCATCAAGTTCTAAATAGGTTGCATTTCTCTATTCTAAGAAGACCTCATATTCTGCCTACAACAAGGAAATGATATCCTCATTAAATATTTATCTAATAGTGCCACAAAAGAAAAAGAACAAAACCATGTGGAAATGCATCAAACACTTGTCTCTTAGTAATCACACCTACTGCACAGACATAAACAAAATGTTCTCCCAAAAGAGCACCTTCACAGCAACCATTTCATCCACTTGCTGCACCCAACTTGTAATCTTACATTGAATCCTCCCTATTTTTGTAGATAACAGTGGTTAATTTTTGAAATCATGAACACACAGATTACACAGTTGATAAAGAAATAATTATGAACACATATATTCACACAACTTACACAGTGCACTTTAGCCAAATATACTAAAGTGACTTATCAAAAACTACTATAAAGATTAATTACCTCCATTTTGTAGTGCACTTAGTAACAGTAACAACACCTGGAATTTATATAGCACCTTTCTTCCTAAGGGCTCAAATCTTAGAGCAGCCGACTGCTCATTCATGTGAGGTGAATTAATGTTTCCAGGTCGCCTGAGTACCATTTAGCCAGTGACTTCATCTTGTGTAATATGTGGCATTCTGGTACCCTGATCTCTTATTGGACCTCAATTGGATAAACAGCGTGTTTCCAGAGAGAAGGGTCATTCATGTCGGCACATCATAATATTGAACTCTATTTGAACAGGGACCAAAGGTGACAAAATTAAAAAGTTCTCAATAAAACGACTTTTGTTGCATAGAAACACATTGCAGTGATACATTAGACAGTTTACAGGAGATAATTTGAAACATTTTACCATGCTTCCTCCTCCATTTTTTATACATACATACATGTGAGAAAGATTCTTCATGGGTTGAAACATTCGTGTGTTTATATTTGGAATCTCTATCCTTTCCAGGTCTCTGGAAAATACACACAATAGGTTTAATGGTGTGGAGCTGAAACGCTTTAATAATCGCATTCTTCATCATATCCGAAAAATAATGCTTCAAGATCTTATGTTACCAAGGCAAATGAGGATGAAAGTTTTACAGTACACTGTCTTAGAAAATGGCTATTTCTATTTATGCCTCGTGTAGTTTGATACTGATTGTGTCACTTCACATGCAGAATTATGTTCTTATACAACACATTCATTCATTTCTTTGATTTAAGGATGACAGTGGTGATTTGTGTGATTATGACGTTGGCTCTTTAGTTTGATTTTATTAATATAAGTAATGCCATAGGAATTAGAGGGTTTCATTCAGGAGATGATATTTCCAACCTGAGAGCGTCACTGAAGTGAGTTTTGTGAGAATCTGGATTTAAATATGATCATTTCTTCCTGGCCTATGTGTCTTTAGGATGGAAAACCATGAAGGTAGCAAGAGGAACTCCAATTCAGAAGTTTGCTAAGACACCAGTGGTATGTCTTAGAATTCCTTTAATTAAATTTAAGTTAAATTTAATTAAATTCCTTTAAATCCTTCAGGCCCCATAAAATGTCCTCAAAGGGATCCAAGGATCACTTCTGTTCTCTTAGTTGACCTCAATGCTTGCTGCTACAAGTGTGGACACTTTGAAGATCTCTTTAGGGTGGTATGAATTAAGAGCTACCATGTTCTCAGGAAGCAGCTGGAGAGAGGACAATCTAAAAAGTCAGAGGCCTTTTGCTTTTAATGTTTGTTTTAAAATATGTCTGATTCTCACTTGGTTTCTTTTTAACTAATCCGAATAAGGATTTCTCAACATGGTTCTGAGTTTTCCTTTGCCCAAGGAGTCCTTGCTTTTTGGAAGTCAGAAACGAAATCTGGGAGAGCTGTTATACGACTGAGTAATTGCATGGCCCCTCCAGCAGGAGACTCTAAGCCCTTTCTAAAGGTTTAATTTTCCTTCTTCTTCTTCTTTTTTTTTTTTTTCCCCCCTCTCTGGCTTTCTCCTTGACTTATACAGTTTTAGCTTTATGTGGATTCTGTGATTATTTGATTAATAACCTATAACATCCTAAAGAGCAGAGGCCACTGTACCCCGAGTGCTAAGACAGTGCTTTTTGTAAGTCGATGGCTAAGACATGTTTGTGAAATAAATGAGTAAATGAATCTTAGGTAAAAAAAGAAAGAACGGGCAAGTGCGGTGGCTCACGCCTGTAATCCTAGCACTTTGGGAGGCCGAGGCAGGTGGATTGCCTGAGCTCAGGAGCTTGAGACCAGCCTGGGCAACACAATGAAACCCTGTCTCTACTAAAATACAAAAAAAGTAGCCTGGCATGGCGGCGTTTGCCTGTAATCCCAGCTACTTGGGAGACTGAGGCAGGAGAATCGCTTGAACCTGGGAAGGGAAGGTCGAGCTTGCGCCATTGCACTCCTGCCTGACAGGGCGAGACTCTGTCTCAAAAAAAAAAAAAAAAAAGACCCTAAAGAAAAAAAGTAGAAATGAATAAAGAAACGAAGTAGAAATGAAGTTAAAAAGGTATGTAATAAATAGTTGCTACTTTGACTTTCAGGAAGGCATTATGTAGTGACTTGGTATTTTGGCTTTCAGAAATGCAGTATGTGGTAAGTAAAGGGAAGAATCATGCTGTCCACATCCTCAGGTCTGTCCTTATATTTTAAAAAATAAACATATATGTTTAATATTATGGCTTCTTAAGAATAGGGACCAGATCTTTTTCATCAGTGGATGCTCACTAATATCTGCTGAGAGAGAAACCTAAATCTTGCATTAATTTCAGATAGAAAACTAGCAAGAATAAAAGATGATATTAAGAATTGGTCTTTGGACGTAAAGGAAGAAATACTTTTGGCTGCAGTCAGGCAATGTAGTCTGCTGTCTGTGTGAAAACAAACAACCTTTAGCCAGCAATTGCCATCCATTGGAAAGAAATCATGAAGTTCAAAGGAAAAGTGGCAGAGTTCTTGACACCATTGAAACTTATTATGGTAGAAATGTAGCTGGGCACGGTGGCTCAAGCCTGTAATCCCAGCACTTTGGGAGGCCGAGATGGGCAGATCATGAGGTCAGGAGATCGAGACCATCCTGGCTAACACGGTGAAACCCTGTCTCTACTTAAAAAATAAAAAAAAAACTAGTTGGGCATGGTGGCAGGTGCTTGTAGTCCCCGCTACTTGGGAGGCTGAGGCAGGAGAATGGTGTGAACCCGGGAGGCGGAGCTTGCAGTGAGCTGAGATCCGGCCACTGCACTCCAGCCTGAGCGACAGAGCAAGACTCTGTCTCAAAAAAAATAAATAAATAAAATAAAAAGAAATGTAAAAATACTGTACATAATTTTCTGAATGTTCATATTTGCGGGATAGCTTTTTAAAAACTTATTTAAAAGTAAAACAATGCACTGTAGACTAATATCAAGTAGATTCTTGTAGGAAAGGGCAAAGGGGAAAAGCAGGCAAGTCTTACATAATCTGTTTTAACCAAACTTTTAGAAACAAAACTATTGCAAGTTTAATTCTTTGTGAAAACTGTAGAAAGAGATTTTGCCACATGAACCTAGTTTTCAAGAAGGACATTCTTGAAAACTTCCTCAAGTACAGAAATGGACTTCATACATGTTGAATGGTAAATAATGAGTCTTATTTGTCGTTCAGTATGTACTTGATGGGATCAGTGACATTCACAATTGTCTGAAATGCATGCTCCTATGTGCAAAATGCCCATTTAAAAATAAATGTGTCTCTAAGTACATCCACTAAAATTATAATCAATATAATTGTAATATTTCACTTACAGAGACTGAAGTTGTTTAAGACTTTCAAACTGGTTCTTGTGAAGATACATAAGAGGATTGGATGACAGGTTCCTTTTTTTTTTACCATTAGATGAGAGAGGAAAAGAAGTTTGAAGGTATTATTATTTCGGAAGCTCAAAATGTTGCCCTTTAAACCTGATTATGATGATAAGTAGAACTTACAGTTTTTGTAGAAGCTTCAAGTCTTTAAAAAGGTGAGGTGATAGCTCCATTATCATATTGCCAGACAGATCCCTGTTGACGACAATGAAAACCCAAAGCAATTACTTTGGAAGAAAATGACAGACTTATTACTCCTCACAATTATCGTCATCCCTTTTGATGTAACAGAAAATATGAATCCAATTTAACCAACCTGATAACTTGTTACACAACAGGGCCCTATGAGTCAGCCAAATGGATACGGTTTCCAGCACTTACAGACATGCAACATTTTGCTCATCCAGTTCCCATCTGGAATTTCCTTTTACCCTCTCTCCAACGCATTCCCAGTCTGGCTTTCATATCTGCTTTGGTTAATTTCCCCTGCTCTAGGTATTCTTTGTACACTTCTACTCTTCATGCTTCTGTGATTGCTACTTGCTTCATATACATGGTCTCTTGTTTATCCAACTACGCTTTTCAAGGTCAAGTCTTGCATCTTTAATTTATTTTGCATTCCAACCAAGACAATATTGTCCACTCAGCATCTGCCCAGATAATCTAGAGTAAGTTCACACACTTTTAATATGTTCTTATACAGGACTATTTTTGCAGAAGAAATTGCAAGTTTAGAATTAAATATAATAGGATTGTCCAATCCAGACAGAATCCTAAGACTCTATAAAATGTGGAAAAGAGACCTGTTAAAATCAGAAGAAATGAATCTTTAAGAGTCCAGAGTATTTTTCTGAGCCAGAGAAGGTGTTAAAGATAAAACAGATATACAGTTGCCTAAGAGTCAAACAAAAATGATCTCTTTTGGTATTCTGGAACTGCTGATGTATATGTGGGAGTTACAAATAACTACGACTTAGCTCTTTCTGTAAAGAAGCTTCCATTTAGAGTAGCAACTAGATAAAAACAAGGAAAGAATCAAACAGGTGCTGTTATAGAGGTGCAGAGAAAACATAGAGGAAAGAGTCATCGATCTTGGCCTGGGACATTAGGAAGTGTTTGAAGAAAGCTTGATGATTTTAGGTGGGGTAAAACAAGAACACCTTCTCAGGTGGGTGTAAAAAATGATCTGAAGCACAGATGCTTGGAATTCAGTGACACTTTCAGGAGTCAGGAAGTGATCCAACATGAGTAGAGGATGGAAGATGTAGGGAGAGGTAGAGGACGTCATGGAGAGTGCGTGGAGACAAGATGGGAAGGCCAGGCCGGGCGCGGTGGCTCAAGCCTGTAATCCCAGCACTTTGGGAGGCCGAGACGGGTGGATCACGAGGTCAGGAGATCAAGACCATCCTGGCTAACACGGTGAAACCCCGTCTCTACTAAAAAATACAAAAAACTAGCCGGGCGAGGTGGCAGGCGCCTGTAGTCCCAGCTACTCGGGAGGCTGAGGCAGGAGAATGGCGTGAACCCGGGAGGCGGAGCTTGCAGTGAGCTGAGATCCGGCCACTGCACTCCCGCCTGGGCGACAGAGCGAGACTCCGTCTCAAAAAAAAAAAAAAACAGATGGGAAGGCCATGCATGCACTTCAAGGCAGTAGTTTTCACAGTACAGTCCAAGCATCCAAGTCCCCAAGGATGCTTATAAAAAGAGCACATCGCCAGGGCCCACCCCAGAGCTATCACATCAGACTTTCTGGGAGGGAGCCGAGTAACAAGCCAACATCCCATGTGATTCTTCGGCACATTAATGTTTGAGAACTGTGTCAAGGACTTTGCTAAATGCCAAGCAACAAGGAGTGAGAACATTAACTAGGGCAATGGCATCATTTGCTCCGGGTTATGGAATGATTATTCTGTCAGAAGCATGCAAGACAGGCAACAAGGCCTGGGAGTTAGGGGAGGAAGACCAGGCAGGAACTTCTAGATGGACCAGGTGAGAGCAAATGAGGGTTGAGGGGGACAGCGGCAGGGCTCAGGGTCTGGCTGAACACGTGTTAAGAGAAAGCTGGAGGGAAATGGAATGGTCTTCAAGCCTGGCTGCCAGGAAGGAGGCACTGAGATGGCAAGTCCAGGTGAAGAAGATGGCCATCGGGTCGGGGTCTCTTGTTTGTTTTGTTTCAAACGGGTTGCTTTTGAGGTGCTGTCATGACACCAAAGTCTGAGGTCCTGCCAAGTGAGATGTCTCATCTGGTCCTCCAGATGAGAGGAGCACACCTAGATCACAGCCCAGAAGGGAGACCACAGGTGCGCCCAGGCCAGAGAGAGCCTGACAATAAAGCAATATGATGATGATCTCATACACCTAGAAAATGCCTTTCAAAGGGTTACCCAGAAAAATAAAGCGCACTCTTTTGGAGGAAAGGACTTCAGGGGCCTCAAGTGCTTGTGCTTATTCCTCCCTTATGGGTTTGTTGTCATGAAGGCACAGTAAAATTATTTAACATTTGTAAACTCAAGACATATGAATGCCTTGTTCAAGTTAAGCCTACCAGCTTCTGAATTTCTTTTAGCTTTCTGAGGCTAAGTGAATTGCAATGGATCGCGATAGATCTTAATAGCAAGCTGGCATCTCTGAAGTGGGCTCTTATTTTTGCTGTGCCTCTGCCTATATGTAGGATGAGAAGAGGGTTAGAAAAAGTTTAAAAATATGGGCTCTGTACCACTGTTTCCTTAAGTTTATATATAAAATACCCGTCTGGGTCAGGCATGGTGGCTCACGCTTGTAATCCTAACACTTTGGGAGGCCAAGGCAGGTGGATCACTTGAGGCTAGGAGTTCAAGACCAGCCTGGCCAACATGGTGAAACCCTGTCTTTACTAAAAATACAAAAATAAAAAATAACAAATTAGCCGGGCGTGGTGGCGGGTGCCTGGAATCTCAGCTACTCAGAAGGCTGAGGCAGGAGGATCACTTGAACCCACGAGGCAGAGGTTGCAGTGAGTGGAGATCGCACTATTGCACTCCAGCCTAGGCGACAAGAGCAAAAAACTCCATCTCAAAACAAAACAAAACAAACAAACAACAGACCCCTCTGTTTGTACTGGGTTATTCCTCCACCCCACCGTGCAACCCAAGTCCACAGTCACCCTCCACAGCCTGGGCAGGAATGCCCTGGGAGGAAGTCTTTTCCAAGTGAGCTGCCTTTACGTTTTTGCCATAAAATGACCATACTTTCAGTTCTTTCAGTTCTAACACAGTACCTTGCACATACCAGGCACTTCATAAATATGTGTGGATTTGATTTATGATTCTCATTAATTACATTGAGTTACCTTAATTATTCATGAGTTATTTTTAGATTACTCCTATTGAGTTATTTTCTCCAGTCCTTTCTGGATTTCAAAATAGTGTGTAAAGAATGGGGAAAGGTTAATTCAGAAACTAATTTCCATTTTAAGGCCTCAATCAGAAACATGAGTTTTCTGTCCTAATCACTGCTATGTGCATTGTAAGAGACTTAATTTTAACTTCCATTGATACACAATTATGTGGGGAGCAATGAGTTAATAGCAAGATAAATGATTTTAAAAGGCTTAGATCCATAAAACAAATATTTGAACAGAAAAAATTCACATGAGCTCTCTGAATATTTTTTCAGTGAGCCTAACCCTCATTCTCAACATTGGGATTTGCTTCACCTGCTATATAAGTCATAATTTCTCAAGGAGTAGTAAGCATCTTTGTTCCTTTGTTCAGTTATAACGAATTAATATTATTTCAGTTAGTCAGTTATTCATTATCAAACATTTATTGGGAATTAAGTATACTCCAGCCAGTAGAAAGAAATGATCCCTATGTTTAAGAAGCCATGGAAAACTCATTTAGTCCCAAACACACATAAGTAAGAAATCACCCAAAGAAAAGTAGAGTAACTAGGGTAGGCTAAATCCGTATTAAGCCCACTGTCTGATTTGAATGTGCTTTGGACTTCAGGATAATGTTGGTTTTCTTAATTGATTTTTAATATCCAATAGTCTACAGGATTTTGATTGCTACTAGTGGCAAAGCAGTCTCACTAGTCATTTAAATTTATAATCTCGGAAGAAGCAATCATATTTTCCTAGTAGACGACGCTACTTACAGTTCTCCTAAATTTTTTAATGAAGAAAATGTCTTCTCTGGAACAAAACCAATTTGATTTCTAGGCAGAAACCTGTAAGACATGGCGAGAATCAGCATGTGGGTTTGCGTCTGCTGTAGTAATCAGTTCTCATTGGGAGAGGCCACTGATCCAGGCAGAATTGTATAAGCCTCCTTTGAAGTCTTCAAGGGAGGCGTCTTTTAGAGTGGAACCTAAAGCGGGACTTTCTCACCGTGGACATCCCCATGTTCTGTTCAGGAAGTGCTGTCACGAGCAATTTGAGGTCCTGAGTGCGGTCTAGAAAGCTGCACTTTGTTTGGATCTAATTATTTTAGAAAATGTCTCTTTTAATTTTCCTTTTCCATTCTTTTTTCCAATCACCCATCCAATCAACAAACATTACTAAGTGCTTACTAAATGTGGAAAACTATCATTAAAACAAAACCAAAACACTCATGTTTCAAAGCTTTCCAGCACGAATGCACTGATTGACCAAACCATCTGCCTTCCTGCCCCATAAAAACAGAAACAGCGATCAGAATCATGAGGCTGAATCTTTGGCCAATCAGAATGCTTTCGATGTTTTTCCTTTTAGATGAAATTATGATTTTTTTTTCTTTAGGGAGAAAGACATCAAATGCTAAGGGTCATTGGCTAATCATTGTACAGCTAACCACTTTCACATACATTATTTCCCTTCCTTGGTGACCACGGGGTTAGGAAACTGGAACTTTCAGGTCCCAGTTCAGCTGAGAAGGTGCACAGAAATAAGGAAGTCACATGATGTCCCTAAAGGGTGGGCACCTTAACTTGAGGCTCAGCCCCAACATCCAAATCAATAAATCGGTGTGTGCATTTTCTAGCACTGCAGTGTCAGACCAAGGCTGTAAACAAAATGCTACTTTAAAATTCTTTGTCAATGTTTTCTTTTTGACTTCCAAATATATAGGGTTTCCCCTCATTTAGTGAAGTCCATTGTATACTTACAGCACTGTGAGCGAATTGCACGACAGAAACGTAGAATTTGTGAGATACTTTATTCGATTGCCGTCCAAATCCCTGGAAGTCATGGAGGAAAGATAATTTTAATTTTTTTTTTGTACAAATCATTTGCTTAGAGATACTTTTTAAAACAGTTCTCAAGTTTATTTTTACTTCATTCCAGTTGTTACTATGCTTTCCTCCTAATTATTGCAAGGTTAGTACTAATATTATAGTATTGCAAGGTTAGTACTAATATTGCAAGCATAACTAATATTATGCTTCTTTCCCCCTTCCAACTAATGTTAATAAAATTGAGGAAAGGGCAGCCTAACATTTAGTGGGTGTCTTTCTGTGCTGAACACTATGCTATTAATTATAATATTGCCCAACCCATCATAAACTACCATTGATTGGGCTTTTATGGTGCCAGGTGCTGTTCTACATGCATCACACAGCACTCCTGCCAAATTGCTGTTATTACCCCCCATTTAACATAAGAGAAATCCGAGGCTCTTGGTGATTTACTTTCCTTCTGACCACACAGCTAGTAAGTGGTAGAAATGACCCAGCCCAGATCTGTCAGAATCTAAAGCCTAGACACTTAACTACCATGTGTGGCGTCATTGATCATTACATCCTCACATTCCCTCCAACATCGGGCAGACGTTTTTGTCTCTGTTTTGCTAAAGGAGAATCTCAGGCCAAAGTTATCCTGTACATACTGAACACCAGAGTCAGGATGCGAATCCTGATCTGTGTGATGCCAAAGTGCGGGCTCTTTCTGTGATTCCTCAAGGACACTAATGCCAAGGGCAACACTGCTCAAAATGGCATGGACGCAGCCTCAGCGCTGCCTGGAACTTGCTAGAAATGCAAATTATTGCCCTAGACCGACTGAATCAGAAACTCTAGCACTGAAGTCCAGCCGTCTGTGTCTCAGCATGTCCGCTCGTTGTTTACGATGCATGCTGACGTTTGACAAGCACTGCTGGGGAGATTTCATTCTGCCAGGTAATTCTGCAGGTCAGTGGCATCCCACATACTCGGACAGTGCCCTTTGCAACACTGTGATATTCCTGTTTCAAGCAATGCAGAGGACTAAGAAACAGCCCATTTTTCTGCCAAGTCTCCTGATTTCTCTTCATAGTCAGCTTCTTACAGTCTTCCCCAAATATGGCAATAGCTACTTTTCTGCTTCTGAACTTTTCTCATAGTCACACTAAAATCACCAATCCCTTTGTCATTTTAAGAAAATCCCATTTTAAAACTATCTTGGAGATTTGTATAGGAACTTGAGATGTACATTTTTTCACACAATATACTGTGATTAAAAATAACAAACACCATACTCTCCTAAAAATCCAAATATTGTGACATAGAATGGAAAAAATGTTTTTCATGATCTCAGAAGTAGGACACTTTGGGGTTGTGGGAGCAATTGTCCAACTTGAAAGCAAGTAAGCGAAGAGGAAAACCCTCCCCAGAACGGGTTTTCTCCTGTCTGGCCTTTCTTCCTGTCTGGCCTCTCAGCTTCCTACCCTCTGTGTTGAAAGGCTATCAGTTGCAATCAGGCCGTCTTGCTACCTATGTGTTTTTATTGCGTGTCTTTTTTTTCCCACGTGTTTGTGGGAGCCCATTGTGAAAATGAGTGTCTCAGGAACCCTGAGCTCTGAGGCTGGTTCCTCACCTGCTGCTGACTGATGCCCCTTTTGGGGAGGGAGAGCATGCTGAGCCCCTGATATTTGTCTGCTACCTTTACTCTTTCCTGTGTGTTTCCCATTGTGTATATGCACTTGTTTAGTTTCTAAGTATTTTCTTTTCACCTATTCTTATTCTCATGGTGTTCAGGTCATTATCTCCATTTTTAATAGTGGCACACTTATGTGAGACCTCTATTGTTTTAGAAGCCTTTTGACAACATGTATTTAAATAAATACATAAAAATAAACATCAGAAAATAAACACAACACTACCTAATAGTATTGTAACAAGAGATTTTGAAGTTAGTTCAGGTAGGATCAAAAGCTGAAGTACTAAAACTTTATCATCTTGTGGGTCTTGAGTTCCATGATTTGACTGAGAAGAGTTCCAGCAGTGGTACCATCAGCATTTTCACAGAACAGGAAAGCAATGGACATGACAATCCTGGTTGCTGCAGAAGACTGTGAAGGTGTATGTGGGTAATGGTGGTGAAGCTATGACGTAAATTAAATGAATGTTTTAAACGGGTATTGGTTAAAAGCTAATAAGGAGTAGAAATGGTTTGGTACATCCATTCTAACAAAGGCTTATTGAGCACCTATTATGTGCTTGTCATTGTCCTGATGCTGGGGTAGGAAATCACATGATAGGTTTCTGCCTTCCCAGAATTTATGGAACAGTACAGAAGACATAAGCACCGAGGCAGGTGGATCACCTGAGGTCAGGGCTTGAAGACCAGCCTGGCCAATATGGTGAAACCCCATCTCTACTAAAAACATAAAAATTAGCCAGGCCTTGTGGTGCACGCCTGTAATCCCAGCTACTTGGGAGGCTGGGGCAGGAGAATCACTTGTTCCCAGGAGACAGAGCTTGCAGTGAGCTGAGATCGCACCACTGCACTCCAGCCTAGGTAACAGAGTGAGACTCCATCTCAAAAAAAAAAAAAAAGACATAAACCTAATGACTATATGGTGATAGTACCCTGAGATAGGGATGAGGTGTAGAAAATGTTCTGTGTGGTGGAGTTTTGTACATGATGCAATGGGTAGCAGTACATAGGCGGCTGCTGAAACTGGTTTGTGTGTCAGGAATGGCTTCCTGGAGGTGATGTTTAAGTTGTCTTTTGAAGGAAGTGTTTAAGTTATCCAAAAGAATAAGGGAGCAAGACTTTTTAAGTCCAAGGAACAATATGCTTAGGGAATTGACTGTAGGAGCAGTAGTTTGATACATGCATAGGAGGGTCAGGGACAGCATCTAGATGGGGTAAGGAATGGAAAATGAGGGTCTTGGATGCTCAAAGGGAAGGTCACACTTTACCCTCACCCTTTGGGAACCCTCAAATAATTTTGAAACTGGGAAGGTAATATGATCAGATTTTGGTTTGGGAAAGAAATTATAGATAGACTTTCTAGGTAACCTTGAATTAACTTTATGGCTAGTTTCCTTAATCAGGGCAAATAACAAATTAATTCCTAAATAAATACTCACACCCAGTTGAGTTGAGGCATTTGGGCACACATCTGCTTGGGAAGAGCTTCTAAGTAGTTATTAACCATAGACCTTTACACAAAGAAAATATTAATTAGAAATAAAATGATATGACACTTTTAGGACAGTCTTTTTATTATTTTAAAATTTCAAAACTTGCATGGTAAAATTAATATGATAAAGAACATATATAGCTATGTGTATGGCAAACATTAGGGAACAGATGTTGTCAAAGAAACTATGAATACATAAGTATGATACATATCCTAAGAACAGATGTTACACAGTTTAATTTTATGAGATGAAACAAAAGTATATATTGGGTAATAATTTTGAAGTTCATGGCAATTTTCCTTGTAAACTTCAGGTTGTAAACTTCAGGGCCATACATCCAAAGTTTCTTCTTAAGGGCATCATTAATCATTTATAATATTAAAGGGCCACATTGGAAACTGCATTAAATTGGAGAAGTGACAGTAGGGGGAATTTGGGGAAAGAAAACAACTCATGAGCATGTTAAGCTGCACGATTAATTTATGATATTGTGATTCCTTTTGACAAATGGAAAAATAATGATGTTATATGATCAGTTGTAAAGGAACATAATAATCCCCTGCTAATAAATCATTCCAGTGTATTAATAAACAGTGAAAATATTATTGTGAGAACAACTCTCTTGGTAGGACAAAGATTTTGAAAGTTTCAGTGAGTCTTGCTGGGCAAAGGCACATTTTCCTCCATTAAAAGCAGAGTTGGAAATGAACTCCTGGAAGATTCTAAGAAAATATAAAAGTAGTTAGGATATGAAAATTAATACTACCTTTGGTTAACCACTGCAAATAAAAACATGCCTTAGTACTAAAGGAAATTAAAGGGGATTTGACTAATAAAAATTTTTGTGGGCTTGATTTTGTTAAAAGTTCTTTTTGTAAGGGAGTGCTAGATGTCATTGCAATGTATCGATAGACATATTGAAAGGTTGATGAATACTTACAGGAAAAACAAGGAATTTAATCCCGTAAACAAGCGCTGTGAAATTCTGGTTATTGGATTGTCATCTAGAATTCTGATGAAATGTATCAAGAAACATTTCCAATATTAGAGACATTTGTGAAATAAAACCTGCCTCCCCTCAATACCTGGCTTACTCCTTTGTGTTCTTCCATACTTGGCTCACCTGTTCCTTCCCTGAGAGCTTTTCCTTCCCTCTGTGGTTGGAGCAACTCTTTCCTCCAAATTCCTACGGCTTCCATCCCACTTATCAAGTTGGATCCTGATTGTTTTGCTTTCTCCCTGCTGCCTCCACCTCCTGCTGGACTTAACGACCCAGGTTGTATCTGTCACCTCTGGGTACCTGGGTCTGGCACAAACTCTGTGTATTGAATGCATTTGGCCCCATAAATGCTCTAACCTACTGATTGAGCTGAAGGATGAACAAAAATATAATTTTTAGGAAATCACAGAGGGTTCTTTGGTCTCATGGTGTTAAACTGATGTATTAAATAAGGTGTGTATAAATCAATGGATGGATGTCATGCTATCCATAAGGAGCTTTCTGGGTGAAAGAGTGAAACTATTTGCATATTCAAACCACTGTTTTAAACTGTATTTTGTAGAAGAAATGAGAGTAAGGGGAAATAGGCCTCTATTCCTCTTGTTGCCTGTGAAGCCAGTTTGTGTTTCCTCTTACTTGCAGTGGCTGGTGAGGGCAGGATTGGGAGAAGGGAGCCACATTAAGCACCTACTATATGCCAGGAGCTTTGCCTGTGGAACTGTTATGTGATATAATCCTCACAACATCCCTCTTGAAAAGGAATTATAGTTTACAGATGAAAATAAAGAGGTCTAGGAAAATTAAGAAAGTTGCCTGGGCTGGGCACGGTGGTTCATGCCTATAATCTTAACACTGAGAGTATGAGGCAGGCAGATCGCTTGAGCTCAGGAGCTGGAGACCATCCTGGGCAACATGGTGAGACCCACCCCGTCTCCACTAAAAATGCAAAACATTAGCTGGGTATAGTGGCTCACACGTGTAGTTCCAACTACTTGGGAGGCTGAGGTGGGAGGATTGCTTGAGTCCTGGATATTGAGGCTGCAGTGAGTCAAAATTGTACCAGTGCACTCCAGCCTGCATGACAGAGTGACACCTTGTCTCAAAAAAAAAAAAAAAAAAGAAGGAAAGAAGGAAGGAAGGAAGGAAAGAAGGAAGGCAGGCAAGCAAGCAAGCAAGAAAAGAAAGAAAGAAGAAAGAGGAAGGAAGGAATGAAGAAAGGAAGGAAGGAAGGAAAGCCTGGAAGACTAAGCATGGGGCTAAGGGTGAGAAAGAAACAGAGAGAGAAAGAAAGAGAGAAAAGAAAAGAAAGAAAAGAAAAGACAAAATAAAAAGTTGCCTGGAAGACTAAGCATGGGACTAAGGGCAAGGCACACAGAAGGGCCTGGATGAAGCTGAGGCCCTGGCTTTTTCCACTAGACCAGGCCAACCTGCAGAAAATGGGCAAACAATACAGAAAGCCTTCTAACCGCCCCTTGTGTATTTTCCTGGTGAAAGCACAGACATCTGACGTGAGGTTTCTTGGAACGGAGCTGGTGGCTAAGTCTGAAAAGTGGTGAAATACCACATGCTATCATGTTTTCAGACTTCTCTCTGAATGCTCTGGAAAGCAGAACAAGTTCTTAACTTGCTTATTTTCAGTACAGTGGTTGTCAGCAGAGGTCAATTTTTCCTCCCAAGGGACATTCAGCAATGTCTGGAAACATTTTTAGTTGTCACAACTCTTGGGAGAAGGGGTATACTACAGGCATCTAGTGGGTAGAGGCCACAGATGGTGCTTAGCATCCTAAAATGCACAGGACATACTCTGACCTTCCACCCTACCCTTCCCCAAAACAAGCATTAAGTGAGCAAAAATGTCACTAGTCCTGAGGTTGAGGATTCCTGCTCTTGGTGAGCACTGGATGGATGGATGGCTTAGCAAGCCTACTGCAGAGCTCAGAAGGCCTCCTAATAAAGCTTGGCCAGCTTTCTTTTCACATAACCACTACTTGACATGACACTGAATTGCCTGGGTAAAGTTCTGCAGATTATATGATAATCAGAAAAGTAAGTATAAAAATAAGATATGTCAAACAGTGGAAACGATATGAGCACTGTTGTATATCATCAAGACTAGGATCCTTTATGGAGAAAGAAGAATTAGAGTACTTACAGCCAAGTTAGCTGATGTAAGTCTTTGAATATTCCAGGTCTGAGAGTTGTGATGCGGTTGTGGTTGAGATATCTACAAAGAGCATGGGTGAGTTAATTAGGCAAACTCAACACCCCATTTTAGTCACATATAATTAGAATAGGAGTCACTGATGATGATTATGAATATGGACATCCGTGTCTGAAAGCACTCGGCTGAATGAGCAGAGGGGGCAAATTCAAGGGGTATCCAGAAGGTACAGATACCCACAAGCCCAGTGTGTGCAACACCAGGGCCGGGGCAGAGAAAGTGGTCCTAAAATATTTTGGGATATTACATCATGTTAGATTGTAAGGGTATAATAACTAAGTATGTGGGGCAATTTTTGCTTTTGTCCTTTTTGGTGACATCCTTGGTAGACTAGCATTTTGAGAAAATACATAGCAAGTTATCAAGAGTTAGAAAAGAAATAAAATGTTAAAATATTGCGGAAGCGACCCAAGCTAGAGAAGACAAGCTTAAGGAGAACCTTTATATGTCTTCTGGTAAAGGTAGGAATCTTTTAATAATTCTTTCAGTGTAGTAACTAATCTCAGTACTTTGTGATAACCTATTCCTCCCATTTCCTTACGATCAAGTTGAAGCTTGAAAAAGTACCGTTCTATCCTTTTAGTCTTTACTTAAAATTATACCTACAATATGAGAAAGAAGTTACTCACAATATTTGTAGATTATATAATCCAAAAAATGCTTTCCTGGATATGTGTCTAATGCAATTACGCTGAAGAAATCTGGTAGGAATAAGATAGGAGAGTCAGGTGATTATGGTTTATGGACTATATTAGGTTGTTGAACATGTTCTCCACTTTCTTTACCTGAAGACAACTATGAAATTGCCTTATAAAGTACAAAGTCCTATTCTCATGTTGGGGAGATGTTGTCAGTGAGAAATGGCTATGAACTAGCCAATGCTTTTCTCATAGTACTCGTGCAATGAGATTGAGGCATTTCTGATTCATACCACTGAACTCCAGTGTGATGTGTCTGCGGAAGGATCTAGTCTTGTTTTGGCAAACTGGAACTACGGTGACCATCCTGTTCTGACGGGCGGGAGTTTCTGGCCTTGTGAGACTAGCCAGCCTCTCACTGCTGGACTTTCTTCCTCTTTGTGCACAGAGATGCACCTTTAACTCCCCATTTATCTTTATTCTATTCCCGTGAATAAAGGAGAGGGCAAGTTTTAATTCTTTTCTATTTCATGATGCAAAGTGAGAAGGACAAGGCAAGTTAGGTACTCAGAATATCAAAGGACATCAGTAGTTGAACCAGGGCAGGTATGCCAATTTCAAGTCACAGGATCAGCACTGACTTAACCTCTGAAGCAACTTAACAATACAGTATTGATTCAGTAATTGCACTGTCAGGAGTATCTAAGTAAATAATTTCCATTTGCTGTCTTCATTGTACAATGGGAAGTTAGCTCTGAATTCCTATTCTCTGAAGGCTCTCAGGGTCAGGCAATACCTACACTAATAGTAACAAATTGTTACGTAGTCTTTTGAATGGCTTCCATTTCTCTTATTTTGGTTTGAATTGCTTCCTAAACTATTACACAATGCTGTTTCATTGCTATGATAGTCTACGGCAAAACTATTTGTAGATCACATGCTCATTTGACATCTGGCTATACTGTGAATTTTATTATACCATGATTATTTCCTAGCAGAGCTCCCAGCCTTTGCCTCTGAGTCACGATTGTGTTATAAGAGTGCCAGGATGGCTGGGCGCGGTGGCTCAAGCCTGTAATCCCAGCACTTTGGGAGGCCGAGGCAGGCGGATCACGAGGTCAGGAGATCAAGACCATCCTGGTAAACATGGTGAAACCCTGTCTCTACTAAAAATACAAAAAAACTAGCAGGCGAGGTGGCGGGCGCCTGTAGTCCCTGCTACTCGGGAGGCTGAGGCAGGAGAATGGCGTGAACCCGGGAGGCGGAGCTTGCAGTGAGCTGAGATCCTGCACCACTGCAGCTCCAGCCCTGGGCCACCACCCCGAGACTCCGTCTCAAAAACAAAAAAAAAAAAAAAAAAAGAGTGCCAGGATAGTGACTCTCTCAGACCTCAAGAGAGCCAGGTAAAGCCAAGATCGGAGCGGTTACCAGAGGCCGGGAAGAGGGGAGATGAAGGGGGACAAATGAATATTTACTACCACTAAACTGTACACTTAAAAATGGTAAAGATAGTAAATTATATATATTTAACTTCAATTAAAAAAAAGAAAATGAAAGTAAATAAAGGTTATTGGAAAGGAAAAAAAAAAAAAAAAGCCAGGGCAGGCTTCCAGCTATCAGCAAACACTATCTTTCACCCCAAGTACTTTACAAACATTGTCATTTTCCCTGTGTTCCTCCATGTGCAAAGGGTTGGCACTACAGAGCATCACATCTGTGGTAATATGCAGAGCATCAATTTCAATCCTGCAAAGTAAACTTGAAACCCAGTGTGACCTTGTGCCATCTTAACCCCCATTCCCTGTACCATATCTGTGGGGAGATGCTTCACAGAGCAGCATACATTCTGCTTTTGGTTTAAGATTCTGCTATGAATAGGATGAACTCACACAGATCAATATCTGTTTTAGCGTTTTTAGAGCCTTGAGACTGATGCAGTGAAAGTTAATATGAATTATGTTACAGTAGCAAATGAAAATAGAAAAAGAACAAAATACTGTATTGTAGGTATATTGAAGTTTCGCTTAAATATACAATTCACTACTTAACTAATGCTATTCACATTTTATTCAGGATGATAAATTCAAAAATGGAATGTATGTTTTACCTACATGTTGTCACATCTTGAAGAGATGAGTGCAGTTGCAAATTGTGAATTTGACCTTATGCTTTTTTCTTATAAGTCAAGGGAAAGAAAGAGTAAAACCAATGATCCACACAACTCATCTGATGTGTACAACCTATCTCCCTTCACTGACATCACTTAAAACTCAAACTCTTACATAATGAAGAGCTTCTCATCTTCTATTTAGTTGGCTGGCTGCCACCCCATAGAGAACTGTAGTCCCTCCCACATTCCATGTCTCAGACTTAGGCTGCTGAACTTGAACTCCATCCTCTAGTCTCTGCTGTCTTCTTTGCAGAATAGTAGCTTAAAGAATGTGAGGGGATATCTGGAAACATGACAACTTGGCAAGTGGTGCCCTCTTTTTATTCAGAGCTGAGATATGAGCCCATTTAATATACTTTACACTGAAATGCCTTTTCTAAGAATAACTTACAGGTTCATGAATTCCTGCTGTTTCAGCTGTCAGGACTTTTCAAGCAGAAATGCCAGGAATTTATGTACCCAAAACTAAAGCAAATAAATGCTTTAATGGCATGCATGTTTATAGGCTATTTTTGAATGTGCCATTTTGTATTCAAGAGCCAGGCAGACACCTTGAATTTCGTTTTGTTGCCAGTGATTATATTTAACAAGAACCCAGAATAAGAAGGAATTCCTAATTTATAAAAGGTTTGTGTTACAATAAGGAGGAGAACTGCTGTTTGTTTCCATGGTAGCAGTGATAAAGTATTATAGTCAATCCCACAAATTGTATTTTATTTCTCTGAAAGGTCATTTGAAACTGCATCCGCCCCCAATTTAGAAAGGCCTGACATTTTAAAAGATTATTAAAATGAATAAACTGATCAATAGTAAAAGCATTCAGATCAGTTAAGCAACACTTATTAATCTGGCAATTAAGATTCAATTCTGATTTAGGAATTCGGTTTTTTTGTTTGTTTTTTTTTTTTGGATGCCTAAATGACCTCAACTCCACTGTGAATATTCCGAGTATTCCAGACAGGAGACTGCCTTGACATTAAATTTGGGGATCTCGCAGGACAACAGTCCCCAACCTTTCTGGCACCAGGGACCGGTTTCGTAGAAGACAATTTTTCTTTTTCTTTTTTCTTTTTTTTTTTTTTTTTTGCTTTTAAGACAGAATTATGCTCTGTCGCCCAGGCTGGAGCGCTGTGATGAGATCTCGGCTCACTGCAACCTGGACTTTTTGGGTTCAAGCGATTCTCCTGCCTCACCCTCTTGAGTAGCTGGGACTACAGACACACACCACCACGCCCGGCTAATGCTTTTGTTGTATTTTTAGTAGAGACGTTCACCATGTTGGCCAGGCTGGTCTCAAACTTCTGACCTCAACTGATCCACCTGCCTCGGCCTCCCAAAGTGCTGGAATTATAGGTATAAGCCACCCTGCCTAGCCAATTTTTCTATGGATGGGGAGTGGGTATGGTTTCAGGATGATTCAAGTGCATTACATTTATCATTAAATTCTCTTAAAGAGTGTACAACCTAGATCCCTGGCATGTGCCGTTCACAATAGTGTCCACACTCCTGTGAGAATCTAATGCCACTGCTGATGTGACAGGAGGAGGCAGAGCTCAGCTTTGCTTGCTCGCCCGCCACTCACCTCCTGCTGTGCAGCCCAGTTCCTAACACGCCACAGACTGGTACCCGTCCGTGGTTCAGGGTCTGGGGATACCCCTGTCATAGGATGTAATCTGTTAAATATGCAGATTAACTTTATTAGCTCAATACAGTCTAAAACACATATTTGTGCATGTCTGTTCTCTGCTGAAACAGAATAAAATTCAATGTCTTAGCTGGCATACAATCATGATGATTCAGTGACCTCTCCGGCATATGCTCCATCATCTGCTGCAGGGATGCCTTTCCTTTAGGCAAACTGCCTGTTCACTCTCTTCTCAACATCCTTTGGATGTTTCTACTTATGTTTCTTTCTTTTCCCTGGTGAAGATGCTCCCCACCTTCTCTTTAGTTCTACATGTTAGTCCTACCCATCGTTCACTCAGCAAATACTCATTAATCCTTGTGGGTTTCTTACCAGGTATGCTACAACACAGGCCTCAGTAGACTAAGAGAGAACCAGGAGGGCCGTCCAGCCCGTGAGGAGCGTATGGTGGTCAGAGAGTTATTCCTTCAAGAGGGAAAGTGAGGGCTTCATGAAAATAGAATTGTAGTTGACCCGAGTCATGTGCAAAACTCAAACAGTAGAGAATACTGTGGCAATAAAAATGTGTATCTAGTTTTATTGCAGAAGCAAGAAAGTCTTAAGGAAAGTGTCAGTTTGCCTCCTGGAACCTGTTTTATAATGTTATGAGATAATGTAAAAGGAACAACTGCTTATTTCTCAACTCCTACTTTGTTCCCGTCTTCTGGATCAAAGAAGATGGTCTCAGGATTGAAGAAGTGGAAAGGCTATATGGCAGGCAGCTCAGTGAAAGCCCAAGATGGTAGAAGGTGTTAATCAAAATTAATTAAAGCTTGGAAATTTGGAAATTTTCTCCTAGAAATTGAGAAATGCCAAAAAATGAGAATATCAAATTATGGTCAATTGCTGAGGAATCCAGAGAAAGGATGAGCAGCTGGAAAGTAAAAGATGGCAGATGTAGTCTTAAGTTCTCAAAAAGGTAAGAAGTTGGTTTCACAAGCTGTGGTTGGATGAGCTCAATGCTGGTCCTGGGAACATCATAGAACAGGTGAATATGATGCTGCTTTGTCTATGCCTCAAAGAGAAAGTGACCAGGACAGTTCACAAGAAACCACATGATAGACCAACTTCATTTTCTTCTTTGAAAGACTGTGCAAAACTATGTGATAAACATTGTTACATGTCTGCTGGGCACTGATCAAGCAGTTTTATAATTTTTTATAGACAAAAGAAAGAATGATACATATTCTTATCTGAAGGATGGTGATGAAGGAATATAGAAAGACAGTTTGGTGCTGTTCTCTTCAATATTTTACTCCATGACCTGGGTGAACATAGTTAATCTTATTTGCAGATGACATAATTATGAGAGGAGTAATGACTATGATGGAAAACACAAAAAGACCTTCACTCTCTGGTAAGAAAAGCTGACTCTAACAGGATGAAACTGACTAGGGATATATTTAAGCACCCACAACTACCTCTCAAATACTAAGTGCATGAGTACAGGATGTAGCACACACATCACTTAGCAGCAACACATGGGGCATAGGATTAGACATTATAGATCAGTAGGAGTTAAGAGTATCAAAAAATCATCAAAAGAGCAATATTCTTCCCCGTTTGCCTCGGTCATGTTACAGTGATAACAGTATATTTATTCTAGATGTCACCCATCAAGACAAATGTAGGCAAACATACGCAGATTATTGTGACCAGAATGATGAACAGATTTGAAACTATGTCCTTTGGGGAGGAATTTAAAGAACTGAGGATACTTAGGGAAGAGGTTTGTGGTGCGGTGGAGGGTGATGACAGCTAGTCTTAAATATCTGTAGACACATGTAGAAGACCGATTAGATGTGTTCTGAGCAGTCTCTTGGGGAGCTTTAGAGGCACCTTGAGCAGTGGTAATGTGGACAAAGTTATTAGTGAATTGTTTGAAATTCCATTTCCCCAGCACCTTCTAATCCTCTTTCTGGTTTATTTTTAGCCCTCACCACCACCTAACAAATTGTATATTTTAAACTTTGTTTATTGACTATCTTTCTTGATTGGAAATTAAGCTCCACAAGCTTAATTTCATCTGTGGCTTTTCATCGGTGTTGTTCATGCTGTGTCCTTGGTGCCTAGCACCTTGTAGGTGTCAATAAATATTCATCACAGGAGTAAATGAATATGTGGATCTTGCTAGCTGCTGCTCTCCTTCTACCGGATACCAAGAGTTCTGACTGAGGCCCACCTGGTTTCTTCCTCCGCCTGACATCCTTTCCTGGGGATGGTTTGGTATTTGCCACATTTGTTATTTGGGTCATTGTATGAGGATTGGGAAGAAGAAGGTAAGAGTAGATGGACAGGAGGGACAAGAAGTAGGACTGCTGCTGGGGTTATTTTTCTGGAAGTTTGGAAAAGAGCAGGAGGAGTTGAGGAATGTGGGTAAAGGGGATGGGGAGGAAAGGAGATTTAAGAAAGCATTGTTGAGCTTATGAGCTGCTCTAGGATATTTGAGTATAAAGAACTTGAGTTATTTTCAAATCAAAGTTTACTTACTGGGTGGTTTCATTGATAATAACACATTCTGAGCCTGGACTATGTGGGTGGGCTTCCAAAGGAGCATGGTCAGAAGGTTTGGGTTTGAGGCCAGTCTCTACTACTTGTCAGCTGACTGACTTTGGGCAAACAACCTCTCTTCCCAAGTGGCTTTCCTGATTCCTGAAACTGCTGTAACGGTGTCTGCCCTACCTCACAGACTCTGGGGATGAAAATTCCAAATATTGGAATTCTTTGTAAACTTTAAAAAGTGGTAGATGACTGTAAGCAATTGTGTTTTATCCCCCTGGGCTTTATCTTACATATAATAAACACTTGATGAATGTTTATTGATGAGAGTCTCATAACCTCTTTTCTATTAGTCTCTGGGAAAATTAATGCCTGCAAACGATCAAATAGCAGCTTGCATGGGGAGAAGCCCTGTCAGGTGATATTCAGGTTATGATGTGGTGCCTGTTTTCTCTGACAAAGTAGAATTAAACATTTACTTGGAGAAATTGCTAGCTAATCTTGGCAATAAAGTTTAATCTCTATCTTTTTTCACTTGGAAAATTATGGACCTGAATTATTAAATTGTTTCTATATTCTTCTCTTCAGTGGGCTAGCAGGGACTGGGACCACAGAGGGAGATACTGGCATAGAACACAGTTATGGGTTAATAGACCGAGGAAGGACATGGCCTGAGAAGTCTTAATTTTAACCCTCCTGCTTGAGTCTCTGGTGACCCCGCCCCCTCCCCAGAAGTCAGCTTGCCCAAAATTAGGAGGCAAAACATATACAAGGGAATTCTACATGGGGTGGGACAGTCTGTGCTGGTAGAAATTCAGTTGAATGCTAGAACAATTTCTTTCCTTCTTAAGGTTTCTTGTTATGGTAAAGTAAGCACTACTTTGGACATCAGAAGACATTGGCTGTAATTCTGGGTCTTCCACTTACTAGTTGTAGATCTTAGGTGAGTCATTTAACCATTGCAGACTTTAGTTACTTCGTGTATAATGAAAAGATTTAATTAGAAATTCTTAAAACTTCTATGACTCTAGAAAATAGAATTTCAATTGCTATGAAACAAGAATTCTGAAACAAAAAATCTCTTCCCTTCCTTTCTGCTAGTGCTATTTTTCCTCCCATATGTGTTATTCAGGCAGTGCAAAGACAATATTGATTCATCTAATGAACAGGTTGTGATTTTAGGGATTTATTGGAAGACTAGGAAGAGTGTGGTTAGAATTTCCTCTCTAGAGGAATCTGGACATGCAGAGTCAATGCATAGCTACTCTAGTGTGACAATGACATGACCACATACCCACATACTTTAGGATGAAGCAACAGGTCTGAGAGCAGCTGGGCTTTACAGAGGCCACAGTCAAACCCAGGTATGATTGAGTATTGATATTCACACAAGGTTCTACCTCATGGACTTCCATTAGCTACTTCTTTTCTTGTATGAGGAAATCTGTACCTAAATTCAGGAACACAAAATCCTTGATGGTATTTCAAACCAAATGTGTGTGCCCAGTATCAACAAAGATTCAGATAATTTTTATTCCTGGATTTTCACAAATTTCACATTTCTAGAAACTTTTCTCCTCTATGCTGGATACTGAAGGATAACACAGTAAGATGATGGTACCGCCAAGGGGGCCTGCAGAGTGTACAGCATTCTCTTGCTAATTTTGTTATCTAGTCTAATGATCATCTCAGCAGGTGTAGCCCCTCCAGCGCCCCAGAGCGACTGGCCCAGAGGGATTGATAGACACCGATCCAACTTACAAATAACTGATACACGAACCTGAATATTCTTGATTTATAAATGTGAATAGAAAGCATCCCATCCCACTTACAGGAATGCTTTTATTCTCTATGCCATGCAGCTTTTCAAATACTTTAAAATGAAGACGTTGGGAAACTAAATTCATCATCCTAAGGTTGCTTGGTTAGTAGGGAATCAAAGCAAAGGAATTGTTTATGAAAATTGTGGTGCATCCTTCCCTCCAAGAGAGATCATCTCTAGGGATTATATTTCACAGTTCACGGTTTTCTTTCTTGGATGATTCTGGAAGCATATTGGCCCTTCTTTGTCACAGGATACCTTCTCTGCTGATCATGTCCTATTTATTGGCATTTTCTTTCCTCAGAGATGTTAATATCACTGATTGCACAACTCCCGTGTTTTCACTCCTAACACCCTGGGGGATGTCTGTACCCTATCATTATGTATTTGAAATGATCTGATTGTTCTTGTTTATGCTGTCACTCTTTTTTTCAAGTGAAAAAGTGCCTCTGAATGTGCAATGTCATTTTCCCAATATCTTGAGGAAAATAATGAAACTGTGTATTTTCCTATTGAGATGTTTTACCTCGACTCCAAGTTAATTATCTGAAAAAAGTTTAAATAAAATGGGTTCAGCTCCTTTAAATTATGAAATGGAAAGATAACATACTTTTAAATGTTTTATTTTCTAATCTTAATTACATTTAGAAACATAAATGTAATGATAAAAAGCTTGATATTTTATTTTATTTTTAGATCAAAAACATCTTATACAACCAAAAGGATTTTTTTTAAAATAAATATGCTATTAATGGCTACTTACATCTTTTTAAGTTTTGTGTATTTGATGAAAACTTTATCTGGAAGACTGTGGATTTTGTTTTTCTTAAGAGACCTAAAATAACATGTAAAGCAAACTTCATTATGGATTTTCATGACCAACCCCGCTCTTCCCTAGAAGCCGCATGCTTGGGAAAAGAATATTTGATGATGTCCATTATACTAATCCATATTTGAACATGACAATAACTAAAAATTTTTTATGGGAGAATGAAAAGTTTATATAGCAAAATAAAGTAGTTTGTGAATATTTGACGAATGTATCTAGTTAGTATAGCAGACTGGAAAGTCCACGGTGATTTAACTTCTTTGTTTTTACTCTCTGGGTGCATTAACAAACCAAACCAAACCAAAAACCAACCAAAGATCCCAACCCACTCTTGCATGCCCAAATGATGACATGAATGCAAATTCCTGAGGCTTTCAATAACTTTATGCAAAGTACAGAAGATTTTGCATGATATAACATATCTGCTAGCTTCATGGATCTTTTATATTTTTGCAGTCTTGGATAGATTACCAATGTTAAAAATGGCATAGAATAAGTAAGCGTGCTTCCTTTTTTAAAAACAAAAACATTTCAGCACAAGCACAATAGTAATCATACATAAATCAGAAAACAATTGAAAATAAGAACTCCAGGCCCACAGACATTTATGAGTTAACTGATCCAGGCTAATCTAACATACAGGGTGTAAACCATTTTTTCCCCCTGAATAGGAAGCATGGAGAATTATCTGATGACTGGTAGTTTTAAACAAAGTTTCTATTATTTTGCTAACACACACGCAACACTATTGGGTTTTTCCTTGGTTTTCATGTGACTATAGGGACAAATATCACCAATAATTAAGTTTTACTCACAGTAATGTCACATTGTTAGAAATCATCGGCACAGACTTTAAGTCACCATTTACACATTCCAATTCAGTTTCTTTGCAGTCACAGCATTGTGGATACTGTTTTAGAACTAATGGGACAAAAAGAGTAAGATTTCACTAGCAAACAAATACATTTCTTTAATTATGACTTTGCCTTTAATAACTGATACTGTTTTCTTTTCATTGAATGTATAAAATTTACATCTGTTAAATGAACTCATTCAGCCCCTAATAAAAGTAAATAAGAATTCTCTTCTACTCAAATGTAGACTAATGTGTTAATCTCAGTTCTAGCTTCTAGTAGTCATTTCAGAGACGTTTACCAAGTGATTAGAAAAAACGCACAAAATGTTAACTAGCATAACTCATCTAGTGAAGCAAGATTAAGTTCACTTCAATGAAAAACATTAGTATGATTAATTCTTAATGGATATGACTGAGTCAGTTCAGTTCATTTGAATACCATAAAATAGTTGCTCAATAAATGCTTTTTGTTTAAAATCAGATTCAATTTTTTTCTTCTTTCAAACTTCCCTAAGAACCATGAGAAGACTGAGATGCAGGTTCTACCATAACAACACTGGCACTTTACTAAAATCCATCCAGCCAGATATTCCTTCGTTTTGGTTCTTTGTTTTTCATCACTATGAAGTTGAAAGTTGAAGGTAAAAGTTATAGAGAAGCTGCAAAGCTGAGATAACCAAAGATCTAGCTATCTGAAGCGTTCAGAAGAAAGGATTCAGGATGTACTCTGAAGGGACTTACATAGTTACTAAGATAATGGCATGTAAAGAGGTGAGAAATCTAAGGAGAAGCCAGGCCAAACTGGTCCATAGGACAATCACTGTGTGTGTGTGTGTGTGTGTGTGTGTGTGTGTGTGTGTGTGTGTGATAGAGAGAGAAGAGGGCAGAGGGGAGAGAGAGAGACTTTGAGAAAGAGAGTATTTTTGGAGTCTGATTTCTCCTCTGAGCCTATGAATATTTGTATGATAGAGCTAAGAATGTGAGAGTTATTTTTGAATTGATTTTGTTATTTCTTTTAATGTAATTATAAGTTCTTTTTAGTTGCCCTGCTTCTTTTAGATCACTCTTATCCAAATGTTATTTTAAAAATAAATTTTACTGAATTTTATTAGTAAAGCCAACAAACTTCTACTGAGTATATACTTAATGGACAAGATGCTTTTAGTGTATAAATTTTTGAAAATATTTTATGTTGTCTATACATATATGTTAATTAGTTCAACTTCCAAAAGATAACTTTCATATGCTTATATCAATATTTATTGACATAATCACCATTGAAATAGTGCTTATGGCCAGGCACGGTGGCTCAAGCCTGTAATCCCAGCACTTTGGGAGGCCGAGACGGGCGGATCACGAGGTCAGGAGATCGAGACCATCCTGGCTAACCCGGTGAAACCTCGTCTCTACTAAAAAAATACAAAAAACTAGCCGGGCGAGATGGCGGGCGCCTGTAGTCCCAGCAACTCGGGAGGCTGAGGCAGGAGAATGGCGTAAACCTGGGAGGCAGAGCTTGCAGTGAGCTGAGATCCGGCCACTGCACTCCAGCCTGGGCCACAGAGCCAGACTCCGTCTCAAAAAAAAAAAAAAAAAAAAAAAAAAGAAATAGTGCTTATATGATTAAATTGAAAACCTGTGATTGGAAACTTATTTACCAATAGAATAATTTCATAGGGTCAAGCTGGGTGTGTCGCCAAAACCAGAAATGTGAGCATTAACTGTTTACCCTCCATCACCTGCAAGCCAATCATGCCCCCAGGCTCTGTGGATTCTTTTTCTGAAACGCCTTTTGCATCTCTCTCTACCTCAGTCTTCTCAATGGCATTTCCTGGGGATTGGAATAAATATAATATCCACTATCTCTTTTATCATCATTCTTTCTCCTCCATCTGAATATCATTGACATTTTGGATCAATCGTTCTTTGTCCTGGGAGGCTGTCCTTTGCACTGTGGGATATTCAGCAGTAGCCCTGGCCTCTACCCACTAGATGCCAGCAGCAACCCACCCTTCTCCATCAGGACGACCAAAAGTGTCTCCAGGTTGGGCAGGGGTGGCTCACGCCTGTAATTCCAACACTTTGGGAGGCTGAGACGGGTGGATTGCTTGAGCCCAGCAGTTTGAGACCAGCCTGGGCAACATGGCAAGACCCCATCTCTACAAAGAATATGAAAATTAGCCAGGCATGGTGGTGCATGTCTGTAGTCCCAGCTACTCAGGAAGCTGAGGTGGAAGGGTCACTTGAGCCTGGGAGGTTCAAGGCTGCAGTGGGCTGTGATTGTATCACTGCACTCCATCCTGGGCAACAGAGTGAGACCCTGTCTCAAAAAAAAAAAAAGTCTCTAGACACTGTCAGACATTCTTTGCAGGCACTGTTGCCATGGCTGAGACTCACTACTCTAATTCATTCTCTGCAATTCTAATGAAATAATCTTCCTCACATACATTTCTGATCACATGCTCTTCCTCCTCATTAAAAAATAAAATAAATATAAGACCAAACCAAACAAACATTAGGCCCAAAACTATGATGATTGCCTGTTGTATACAGTAGTAACCTTGAAAATGGGATGTGGGCAAGACGACTCATTGTGGGTTAGGTAGAAAATAGTAGAGCTTTTGGTTGTATTTATTTTTAATCTTATCCTTTTTTAGTTTCTAATTTTCATACAGAATATTCTTGTGCATTATAAAGTATATAAGTGGTCATTATAAACTGGTATTATAAAGTACATAAAATACTGTTAGTGTAGTATTTGATATATATATGTTATATACATATATTTACATATACGTACTAATGTATGTAATTGTACATTCATCTTCCTAATTATATATCTATGTCTCTACATATACATATCCCCCCGTAAAATTCTATCTACAGGATAGAGGCCACACTTCAATGTGTGCACCAAAACCTTTCATGGGCTGGCCCCAGCCTTCTAGGCTCGGCTCCTGCCCGTCCACCTCATGCACTCAGAATGGTTGTGAAAAGGCATCCTGCAGCCTGCTGCGCATCTTCCGACCCCAGTGTTTTGCTGATCTTGCTCCCCTGCTCGTCTTGTCACCTCGTAGCTTTCCTCCATCCAAGGACTTCAAAGTCCATCTCAAATGTTATCCTCTCTGGCAATCTTTCCCCATCCTCAGCACAGCCATCATTTCTTCCAATGGGCTTCCCCATTCCCTGGTGCAAACCTTATTCCTCCCTTTTAGCAATAATATTATATCATCACTGCTTTTGTAAGGAACTGTCTTTCCTGCTACATGTGAGGTGTTTGTGGGTTAGAACTCCGTCTTACTCATCGTTGTCCTCTCAGTGCCTAACATCTTTCTTGAAGAAAATAATGAAAAGGAATAAGAACTTTACTATGAGTCACAATTATTCAATACTTATATATTCTTGCAAGCAGAGAGTACTGCATGAAAATAGCGTAAATGGAGATGGTTGTTTTCTTTTTTCTATCTTTCCAATCCCACGGGCAGACAACAGACCTGTTAGCCAGTGAAATACATTGAACTAAAATGGAAATTCCAAATGGAATTTGTCACGTTACCCATATAAATCTGTGCATCACAAATCATGTTTTGCACAAAGCTGATACTGTCTTTGAATCAAAACCACTTACAGCACTTCTGTGTTAAGGCCACGCTGTTAGCATTTCCATGGACTGTGCCAAATATGGTCGCCCATCCACTAGTGTCACCTGTGAAATGATGATTGAGATGCGTCACTTATTCTAGAAATTAAATACCGTCTTACAAAAGTTGAACAATTTGATAATGATTTTAAACTAAAATATGTTTAAGTATTAGAATGATTGATCTTTTAAATACATAGTAAGGGAGAAAAAGTCAGGCAAACATCTGCAAGGTGTCCCTTTTTTACATGAAAAATACACCAAATGTATGTGCCATAAAATTTGCAATGCAAGTATGTAATTATTTTACATAAATATAAATGTCTTGGAAAATATCAACTATTTCTAATACTGACATTTTCCACATTTGACCTTAATTTTGAGGACCTCCGAAGAAAATATCTGAATGTTGTTTTGTCACGTGCATCCTGCTGTATATGTAGAAACATACTTGATAGATATATTGAGTTCTGATAACATTTATGTCATCCGACTTTTTTTAATAAAGCAAGGGCAAAGTTTCTTAAAGGCTTTTTTCTGGGTGCAGTGGTGCTCGTCTGTAACCTCAGCACTTTGGGAGGCTGAGATGGGAGGACCACTTGCATGTAGGAGTTCAAGGCCAGCTTGGGAAACATAGGGAGACCCTCTCTTTACAAAAAATAAAAAATTAACTGGGCGTGGTGGTGCGCACCTGTAGTCCTAGCTACTTGGGAGACTGAGGTGGGAGGATAGCTTGATCCCAGGAGGTCACAGCTGCAGTGAGCAGTGATCACGGCACTGCACACCAGCCTGGGTGACAGAGGGAGACCCTGTCTCCAATAAATAAATAAATAATAAAGGTTTTTGAGTCCTGCTGAGAAAAATAACATTTCCTCGATTTGTCATATATTAATGTCAATTTGTCATATGTACATATAATTTATTTGCCAAATTTTCCTCTTCTTTTTGATAAATCATATTTTTAAAAAAGGAGGCCTAATTGTGAAGTATTGTTATTTCAGTATATGCTATAAAATAATAAAATATGCATTATAATGTAAGATACTGAAGTTCACACAAATACCTAAGTAAATTAAAATAATTGCCCACAGTCTGCTTTGATCCTTGGAATCTTTATTTCTATTTCTTATTAATATTCTCAATAATTCTACTATGATGCTGCCTCACTTGCTTTATTTAATTTGGGTTCAGAAATCCTCATGGGGTAAACATTCACGGCTTCTGGTTCCCATGCAGCAAAGAGGAAAGGATGAGAATTTGAGTAACTTGCCCATTGGCATCCAGAGAGTTGCCCCCAAAACTAAGCACTGACTGTGCACTCTACTGCTCTAAGCTCTGTGATAAGACTGAGGCCTCTTCTCAAGGAGTTCCTACCTAGGAAGATAAATGCAATGATAAGGGCTGGGCGCAGTGGCTCATGCCCATAATCCCAGCACTTTGGGAGGCCGAGGCAGGCAGATCACCTAAGGTCAGGAGTTCCAGACCAGCCTGGCCAACATGGTGAAACCCCGTCTCTATTAAAAATACAAAAAATTAGCTGGGCATGGTGGAGGGCGCCTGAAATCCCAGCTACTCAGGAGGCTGAGGCAGGAGAATCGCTTGAACCCAGGAGGCGGAGGTTGCAGTGAGCCAAGATCGCGCCATTGCACTCCAGCCTGGGCAACAAGAGCGAGACTCCATCTCAAAAACAAACAAACAACAACAACAACAATGAAAAGATAAGGTGTTCTACTTTGTGCAGCATACAGATACACCCAGGGTGCTGTGATAACACAGATAAATTGCGGCCATCCTAGAACAGTGATACAGCTTCAGGGAGACCAGGGAAGCCCTCCTGGAGGAGGAGACACTTAAACAGGGCCCTGAAGAATGAGTAGAAGTGATCCACGGGAAGTGTGGGCAGAGGCTGTGTCCCTCAGAGGGAGGCATGCCTGAGTACCCAGGGGCAGGACAGAAGATTCTAGAGATGCATGCCGTGGGCTTTGCTGCCCCACTTTGGTGGGTGGTTGGGCAGTGCTGAAGAGAGGTAGCTCTCTGTGGGAGAAAACACGCAGGATTTTTTCTGATTAACTAGACATATCAGCCTCTCTTGGCATCAGTCTCCTCCAGAGAAAAATATTTTTTAGGTTTCAATAAACAGAGCTGAAATTGGCCTGTAAGATGCTCTGTTATCTGGCCTCTGGTTACCCCTTCATTCCCTGTGTATATCCCTGTTCACTCTGCTTGAGTCATACACCATCAAACACATCATCCTGTTTCAGTCAGCCTTGGGCCTTTGCGCCTGATGTTGCCTTTGCCTGGAATTCTGCCCCTCTAGAATATTTCATAGTTTCCTTCCTTCCTTCCTTCCTTCCTTCCTTCCTTCGTTCCTTCCTTCCTTCCTTCCCTCCTTCCCTCCTTCCCTCCTTCTCTCCTTCCCTTCCTCCCTCCCTCCCTCCCTCCTTCCTTCCTTCCTTCTTTCTCAATCCAAGCGTCATCATCTTATAAAGATTTTCTCTGGTTACGTCCTTGAAGTATCCCTCCCTCCAAGTTACTTTCTATTTCATTATCCTGTTTTATTGCCTTACTTATCACTCAGATTATTTAATTCCTTACATACAGGTTTATCATCATCTTAGTTCACATTATCCATGTGAACTCCACAAGGTCAAGACACTTGTCTCTCTTGAGCTCACTGTGTCCCAGTGATTTGGAGAGCTCCTGGCACATAGTGGGCACTCAGTATAGGTCCATTCTATCAGTTAATTCTCTAGCTAGGCCCATTCACACTTTACGAATTTTTTTTGTTTTTTTTTTGAGTTGCAGTTTTGCTCTCATTGCCCAGGATGGAGTGCAGTGGCGCAATCTTGGCTCACTGCAACCTTACCTCCTGGGATCAGGCAATTCTCCTGCCTCAGCCTCCTGAGTAGCTGGGATTACAGGCACCTGCCACCACGGCTAGCTAATTTTTTGTGTGTGTTTTCAGTAGAGACTGGTGTTTCACCATGTTGGCCAGGCTGATCTCGAACTCCTGACCTCAGGTGAGCCACCTGCCTCGGCATCCCAAAGTGCTAGGATTATAGGCGTGAGCCACCGTGCCTGGCCACTTTATGAATATTCTTGGAGCTGAACCAAATTACCAGCCATAAGGAGGTAGTCATAGAAAGTCCCTTAAAATTAAAATATGAATATTGAAGTAGATTTTCAAATATAATTTTATTTTTATAAAATATAACATTTTATGATACTGTATTTCTGACTTAAGCAACCTCAGCATACAAAAATGCAGGTCATTATCACAAATACGTCGGGGAGTCATTATTTGTGTTTCCAAGGGAGTCCCTACAGAAAACCAAATCAGTTTTCCTAGTTTATCACAATCATTATCCAATGGACTCACAGTTTTGGGGTGTTCATAAAGTGAGGAACACAAGGGGAGCACTCACCACAGTTCTCTTCGTCTGCCCCATTCCCACAGTCATCCTCGCCATCACAGTGGAAAGCTCGGGGCAAGCACTTGGTAAGATTCCCACAGGGAAAATATCCTTTTTGGCATGAAGGAGTGATCATGCTAGCTTGAGTCAGTGCAAAATCTACATGAAAGAGGGGCAAAAAAAAAAAGTGTTACCATGGCCAAGCTCTCTCTGTGTTATCCCATTTAATTTTCACAAGAACTATATGAGTTGAGTTCATCTGGTGTTATTCTTAGTGCACAATTTCTTTGAATAATATTCTTAATGACAACTTTATTTTTTATTTTTAGACGGAGTCTCACTCTGTTGCCAGGCTGGAGTACACGATCTCAGCTCACTGCAACCTCTGCCTCCCAAATTCAAGCAATTCTCCTGCCTCAGCCTCCTGAGTAGCTGGAATTACATATGTGCACCACCACGCCCGGCTAATTTTTGTATTTTTAGTAGAGACGGGGTTTCACCATGTTGGCCAGGCTGGTCTCAAACTCCTGACCAGCCCACCTTGGCCTCCCAAAGTGCTGAGATTACAGGTGTGAGCCACCTCGCCCGGCCAATGATAACATTTTAAACAGCCATAATCACACCGAATACCAGCTATATCAAGAACAGAATCAGAGTTCATTTTGAATTCACTTCCACAAGGTAATCATAAACAAAACCAGATGTATTGTCCTAGTTTTGTATGGAATCAAGGAGTCATCCACCCTTGAAAACAGAAAGGTAAAACCATGAGCTAATAGGGTCAAATGGGTAGATTTATTTACTTATTAATCTTTTACAAGAAAGATTTGAGGTGACATGATAAAGATATACCTGCAAAAGGAGAGTTTAAGTATGAGTTAGAAAGAAATCCAGAAACACATTAGAATGAGGGAAACTAGGATTGAACATTGAACACTCATCTATGGTGTCTACTGGGTCTACTGTTTGCCAGACACTTCACACAGTGGTTATCATTGTTAATCTTTCAGCCAGCCTATGGTATGGGCGATATTATCCTTCATGTTTTGGGATTAGGGAAGTTAAATATCTTGTGTGCAGTGGTTCATCTGGGAAGTGACACAGAGTGGCTTTGAATCATCCCTCTGACTCCGTAGGCCCACCCTTAGCCATTGTACTACGAGACTATCAATCGATTTAGGAATCTGCATTTCAAGGAGTATAAATCAGTACTAGTTAAAAACAATCTTCTGGTGCAGGGTACATAAGAGAAGACCAATGAGAGTTGAATAACTGCTGAGTTGGATAAGAAATTAAAGAAAGGAAATATAATTGACATTTACAAAAGTATTATATCTATGGATAGGATGACCAAAACAATTCTAGCAATTTAGATGTAAGAGATATTCTTTCAATTTTGAGAGAATACTTTTCAGAAAATAAAGAGACATGTTCGTAAGTTGGCTAATAAAATTACGGAAGTCATGTATTTTTAAAAAAGGAGTTCTGTCCAGGTGCAGTAACTCACGCCTGTAATCCCGGCACTTTGAGGCCGAGGTGGGGAAATCACTTGAGGCCAGCAGTTTGAGACCAGCCTGGCCAACATGATGAAACCCCATCTCTACTGAAAATACAAAAATTAGTCAGACATGGTGGCATATACTTGCAGTCCTAGCTACTCAGGAGGCGGAGGCAGAAGAGTTGCTTGAACTTGGGGCACTGAGATTACTGTGAGCCAAGATGGCACCACTGCACTCCAGCCTGGGCGACAGAGCTTGACTCAGTCTCAAAAAAAAAAAAAAAATTGGAACTTCACAGAAATTGATTTAAGGAGAGTGTAGACACAAGAATGGCTATAGGTTGGCATGATTCATTGAAGGGAGCAAGGGATGTGGGCAAAGTGCTCCTAACCACGCCACTGAAGGCTGGCATCATGACCTGGGATTCCCTTGGGTTTGTGTGGGAGACGATATTTTTAACATAGCAGAAGGATAAGGAACAAACTTTAATAGGAACATCATCTACTTTGTGCTGGGCATTTCCTAGATACTTGATTTGATGTTAATGGCAACTGTGTACAGTTGGCATTAATATCCCCAAATAAAGATGAGGAAATGACTGAGAACACGCAGGCACGTCTACTTTGATTGCTGGGAAAAATGCCCTTGTGAGACCTGAGCCCTCCAAGAAAATGCTGCCTTGTAGAGAGACGTCTTCCCCTGAGGCCCCTCAGGAGACTCTCCTAAAGGAGGTAGAACCTGCTGCTCTCATTAACAAAGATGTCATTTGTTAAAGGGCAGGAGTTGGAGTTTAGGCACTAAAGCTACGTCTGAATTACAAAGGCACATTAAGCTTTCAGTGATGTCATTAGGGAGGATGAGTATATCATTTCAGCTTGAGTCGTTTAGTCCTGATGACCATGGAGATCCAGCAAGCACAGAAAAGCAGAGCCTCTGGCCCTCTCTGGGGGCAGCCGGGTATGCTGGTGCACACTCTTAGAGGCTGGTGTGGCCACAACCTCTGGGTCTTTTCTGACTGAGGAGGAAGACTCAGAGCATGGCTTTTGGATGTTTTCCTGCTCGTTGGCGTTTTGTTCTTACAAAAGCAAAAATTATTGTCTCGCTATTGCTGCAGTAGTGGATGAAAGATTTACTCTCGGCAGCTAGGCATAAGACCAGTCAAATCTGTGACTATTTTAGGAAGACTTCTCCGCTCCTTGGCACTGGGGTTGGCTTGTTAAGCCTGTTCACGCAGGGAGAGGCATACTGAGTCATAGATTTTAAAATCCCTCAACTTCTTGCTTGTAAAGATTTCTGTAGAAGGCAGATTTATAAAAATGAGTAGTCCTCCTGTGTTTGGAACATGAATGAGAGAGAGAGTCAATATATCTACGTGTAGTGGCTTAGAAATTTTTTTAAGACAGTAATTTACAGTTAGAAATGTATTTTATATCACAGTCCAGCATACACGCAGCCATAACCACACTCCCAACACACACCTACACCCCCACACTCACTCTCACACCCACACACACTAGCACACACCCACGCACCCTCATCCCACAGCCACACCCACATCCACGTAATGAAAAAAGTTTTCCTGAAATATCACTCTTTTAAAGTTATGTGGGATGAGCTTTGATCCTTGCTATTCTATCTTATTCAGTTGAGAAGGGATCACATGCCTCTCAGTTGATTTCATGATCCCCTAATGGGATGTGACCTACTATTTAAACACATTCGTTAGTGATAATGCACCTCAGAGACACTCAGACCTGGATTACAATTCTCTCTGCCACTCACTAGCCATGTGACCTTCAGCAGGCTACTTAACCTCTTTAAATCTTAGTTTCCTCACATTTAAAATAGAATTAATGAGAACATCTCCCTTGTGGGTGTGTTTCGGGGACAGACAAGCTGATGCGTATGAAGTGGGGAGAGTGCCTGGCCCATAGTAACCCTGGGTTAATGTTGGCACACAGGCAATTTCCATACAAGGTAAGAAAACAGAATGTTAAGAAGGAAGCTCTATGTAAAATGGAAGCTTGCTGTGCCTCAGCATTTCAAGATTTTTTATGTGACTTCTCTGAAAGAAATAATAGTGACCAAAATAAAAGCTTCCCCTACTTCTTTATGTTATTCCATCTTAAAAGCCATATCACATGTATGATTTTTATTTTATTTCAAATCTCTTTTGAAAGCTGAAGGAGGACTGTAAATGATAAATAACCAAGGAAAATGTCCTTACAGCCTCCTAACAATATTTTCTTAACGTTTAGAAGAAGCGATTAAGCATTCAATTAAAGAGAATTTTGAAATAGAGAGGTGAGGCGATGTGAGTAGGACCCTTTGAAGGTGGCATGTGGTGTTTCCTTCCAGGATTTATTATCAAAATAGCTGTGAGTTGTGTTTTCTTGTTTTTTGTTTTTGTTTTTGTTTTTTCTTCTTGAGATGAAGTCTTGCTCTGTCACCCAGCTGGAGTGCAGTGGCACAATCTTGGCTCACTGAAACTTCCGCCTCCCGAGCTCAAGCAATTCTCCTGTCTCATCCTCCCCAGTAGCTGGGACTACAGACTCACGCCACCACGCCTGGCTAAGTTTTGTATTTTTGGTAGAGATGAGGTTTCACCATATTGGTCAGGCTGGTCTCGAACTCTTGACCTCAAATGATCCACCCGCTTTGGCCTCCCAAAGTGCTGGGATTGCAGGCATGAGCCACTGTGCCCGGCTGACTGTGAGTTCTTTGAGGGCTGGACCTAACTAAATGCCCATCTCACATATTCAGAAAGTCTAGGCGACAGGGGCAAACAAGCAATCAACTGTCACAAATAAAAGGCGTCAAGATGGTTTCCTTTTCCCTAGAAAAAAAATTGAGTTGCATCTAGCAAGTGTGGACAAAGAAGGGGAGGAAGAGACTGAACATGTATGAATAGAACCTGCCAACTGCATTTCTCGTAATTCCCTGTTTTCCACCCCAGAGTGGCATCTTCCTGAAGACATTTCAAAACACAAATGTTTTATATATAAGGAGAATAAATGAATACAATGTATTCCCCACCCTTTTCCCTCTGTGACCTATATCTCTATTGTCTAACTTAGTGTCTTACTTGGTGCTCAGTAATTTTTTAAATGAACATGTGAATTAATGAGCCATTTAGAAATTTAAAAAAAGGAATTGAAGGAAGAACCCTTTTCAAAACTTAAGCTTCCCAAGGCAGCAGATTTAGGCTGTTATTCTGATGAGAAAATATTGTTTAGTCTTTCATGCACTTCATTTATCATTCCGCTCTGTCATTATACAAATTAAATAATAATTAGAACCCCTGCTGTACTTGGTACATAGTGAAAAAAGCATCACTAGCTATCTGTAGAAAGTGTATTCTGTGGTCTATTCTTCCTGCCATCTGTGGAAGTGGGAAGAGACAGCTTTTATTGAAGCCTGGGGATTATAAAAATGGAGGATGCCTGCATCACAGCAGTGCTGATGGCTTCTGCAGTGGTTTCCATGGGACCCCTGCCAAACACACAGCTGAGTGGAGGCTGGAACATATAAAAGATAATTGCTCAGTAATCGCCCTTCTTCTGCCTTCTGGTCAATATTCTGGACGTGTCTGTGCCAATAGATTTTAAAGTGACGTTCAGATGGCCTTTTAAAGCCAACTGGACTGCTGCCCAAGGCTAT